GCCCGGGGCTGATCCATGCAACGCTCGGCAGGCAGCGTTTCTCACGTCTCCCAGAGAAACCCTAGGTGCCGACCCCAATCCCAGCTTGGCGCGGCGCCCCTGGGGTCCCCCGCGTCCATCTCCGGCTGCGGGACCCGGTGGGGGAGCGCGGAGTCGGGGCTGCGGAGAGAGGCTCCCGCGCCCTCGGCTCGCTGGCTGCGCCCGTGCCGTCCTCGGGGCCGGGCCGGACGCTAACCTTTAGGACGGTGCGGGCAGAGCTGCCCCTTGGAGGGCGCGGGCCGGGGCTCTTCCCGGCGTCCGGACGCCGGGGCCCTCGGCGTCCCCGGAAAGCGCGCTCGCCGAGCCCTTTCATTCATCCCCGGAGCCGGTCCTTTCTCTCCCCAGCAGGTGTTATCTGAGGCCACTTTGGAACTTTTGGGAGTTTAGTTTCTATTGTGATTTTAACAAATGAGTTTCGGTGAAGCGATGTCTCGGACGGACGGGGCTTTGGCACCTTCTGGACGGGGCTGAGGGCTGGCGCGGGCGGGCGGGGCTGGCGGGGGCGCGGGGCTGAGCCGGGTCCTCTTCTCCTCTGACCTGCAGAGAGCAGCTGCTTAGCCCGTGGCGGTAGGATGTGGTGAAAGGATGGGGCTTCTCACTCCCGAGGCTCACCATGGCCAGAGAGGACTCCGTGAAGTGTTTGCGTTGCTTGCTCTATGCCCTGAACCTGCTGTTCTGGGTAAGTCAAACGGTTCCACTGCCCCAGCAGGAGGGGAAGGCTGGACCCTGCTTCCTGCAGCCACAGAGTGTGCGCCCAGGGGCAGGCCTCAGCCTTAATTATTTACATGGAATCACACCCCCTATTTGTCAGAAGTAAAATTTGACCTTAAAATGCCTATGATCTACCTCAAGTTCCATTTGTAATAAGAAAAAAGAAATTCGTGTCAGTAAAATTAGGCCTGGAGTTAACCTAGGGATATAAATAAATGCACGTGCTTACATTGCTAGATAAGAAAACTATGACAGACTCTTAGGGAACCACTTGCTTGTAGGAAATTTAGATAACTGCACAAGCCGTAAATTCTTTTCTTATGTCACCCAGCCATAAAAATTTGTTGGGGCAAGCGTTCTTCATATGTTTTTGTAAGAATTCAAACCTAGCTATCTTATTGAAAGACTAGGTACATTCTTCTAGGGCATTCCATATGGTCCAAAAGTTGATTTCCATGTAAATATTCCTAAATTGGCAAAGTTTAAGGAGTTTTGGGTGTGCTTTTGGAAAATCTCATAACTAAGGCAAAAAAAATACATAAATTTTTATGCGCTATGAGTGACTTTTTGTGTTTTACACTCATGCAAAATTTCATAAAATGTTACCATTAATTGCAATATCATTTTTAAAACAGGAAAATATAAAACTGGAGCTCTGAAATTTGTTTTAGGAGGCTATCATGCTTAAGCAGTTTTTTATTTGCTATTTTTAAAAATGTTTAATCAATAACTTATATTCAGAATTTCCTGCTAAAAGTTATAATGTACAATTACTTCATTGGACTGGCTGACTGGCTGACTGGCTGACTGGCAGTGACTAGCGTTTTTTCAGAAGGTGGTTACAGGTGATCTCTAGAAGATGACATTTTGGTTAATCCGTTCCTTAGGAATGGTGCCAGTTAAAGGTGACAAGTTAGGTTTTAGCTCAGTGAGTAACCTGACAGCTATCCAAAATGGCAGCTTTATTTTTTTTCTCAAAAAAATAAAGCTGAAAAACCATTGAATAGTCAGATTCATCATTTGAAAATGTAAGTGATCTTTTTGTAGTTTAAAAATTACTGCTTATTAAGAGGTTAGACTCAGTTTCTTTCAAAATATATAATCATTACTCCTACTTGCTCATTTTTCACTTGTCTGCATGATTTTTCTTTTAATTATAGCATCATCACGTCCTATCACTGAAAGGAACTTTAAGGATGGCCTGGTTGAACTTCCTTTCTTTGTGAATGAGGAAATTAAGAGCAAGTCAAATGACTTGCCAAAGGTCAAATATTCTGACGGGGAAGGGTGCCAGGAACAAAACTCAACTTTCTTACATGTAGATAGTGCTTTAAATATGTAGCCTTGTTCAATTTTGAACCTTGACATTACTAAGATTTTTTGTTGTTGTTGTTCTTCAATAAAAAAATGAAGCTTTGGGAAATTTCTTAACAATTTGTATTGTGCCAAGAGAAAACCTCCTAATCATTTAATGAAACTATTGCTTTTTTGAAAAATGAAATTTTTGAAAACCACCTCTTCCTCAAACTATTCTACAGTTCTTTGTGTCCCCAGAGAAAGGAAAAATGTTATTATTATGATGGGCTTTTTTGGTATCCTACTCTTCAACTTTCTAATCTTGCATGTGTGTGTTCTGCTTGTTGACTTATTGGGATCGCATCCATCTTCCTCAGCTCTCCTCTCCCAGCGTCGTCACCGCTGCCCAGTAGAGGAATCAAGGTTGGCCACTAAATGCGCTCCCTATACGTTACTTCATTTCATATGCAGTTAACATTACTCATTCCTGTTCCAGTTACCATTTTCATTGTATACTTTCATGACTTTTCTTTTTTTCTTTTTATTGTTTCCTAAGTTGCGCTAGTCTTAGGGGTGGAAATGCTATGTCAAAAGATGTGCAAAGACACCAACGGTAACAGCAAAAACAAAAGATGAACAGTTAACATAAAAGATAGCTAGCAGTTACTACTGTGTTTGCCAGGTATAGTCAGTATCCATTTCCTAAGTACTTAAAATAGATGTATTTCCTACTTTTTAGAGGTGTAGTCAAAGTTAGAATTACGTATGTAGAGTACTTAGAGCCATGGTGCATAGTGCTATCTATGTGGTAGTGCTGTGTGCAGTTTTTATTCTTACAATATTGATAATCACAAATAGATTACAAGAAGGTCAGTTGCTATTACCTTTGCGCTAAGAATAGGAGCTGTTATTATTGTTGTGACTAGCAGTGCTGCCCCTGCAACGGGTACCACCGCTCATTTGGTCTAGCAGTCTTAGCCCAGGAACCTAAGCCTTGGTGGTGAAAGCACAGAAGGTACATCTTTTGTGTTCAGAAGTATTAGTTGTCATGTTTTTGGTGAGATGGTGCATTTTAACTTTTGTATCTACCCCACTACTAGTGAGCACGAGCTATACTGTATATATGTATATAAGATATATAGATATTCATGCTTTATATTAATTGATTATTTCTTAGTTATCATTTAGCTTTTCCCTACTCGTTGTTGGTTTCACTTACGTTGTTTGCTGCTATACAATTGCTGTTTTTTGTTTGTATATTTAAAACAGGGTCTCACTATGTACTTTAGCTTGGCCTTGAGCTCTTGGTGGTCCTCCTGCCTCAGCCTTCCCAGTGCAGGGATTATAGGCATGTACCACTATGCTTGGCCTAGTTACACTTTTGTATACTCTTTTTAAATATAATTTTTTATAGAATTATATATGTTCTTTTACATTTTACATCTACCTTTCTTGTCTTGGATAAGGTTTCTTTTTCATATAAACTTTTTTAAAAATTTTTTTTATTTATTTATTTATTGTGTGTGTGTGTGTGTGTGTGTGTGTGTGTGTGTGTGGCCAGCTCAGCCCACCAGCGGGCAGGGCTGGCTGGCATGTGGTGCTGGGGGATCGAACCGCGGTCCCCGTGCTTTAGCCAAGCTTGTTCCAAGTAGGTGCTTTAGACCACTGAGCCATCTCGCCAGCCCCTCGTATAAACTTCTAAGATTATTATTTTTTCTTCTTTTTTTAATGGTATATAGTACAGTGTCTCACTATGCAGCTTGGACTGGTAGTGATTCTCCTGGTTTCAGCCTCTCCAGTGCTGGGATGACAGGCGTACGCCACCATGTCTGGTCTGGGTGGCTGGCTCAGTGTGTGCCCCAGGGGCAGAGCCAGTGTGGCATGTCCAGCCAGAGATCAAACCCCAGTCCCTACACTTGCCTAAGCAGGTGCTTAGTCCTCTGAACTATCTTGCCAGCTGGAAGATCATTTTTTCTAATTAAAAGTATCTACTGGAATTTTTATTGCAATTGTTTGAATATTCATACTAACTTTGAGGAAATTAGCACTATCTTTCAAGGCTAGAGCAATGCTTTATATTTTATTACCAAGTACAGGCAATTTTCATCCTCCTTCTGGGCATGGTCCTTAGCATCCTTATGTTTCTCTCTCATCTAATTCTCCTAACAACCCTGTAGAATAGATTTTCTTCTTATTTCCCTTACTTTGGGGAAAGAAACCAGCATGCAGAAGTTTATTAACTTGCTAGTAAGTAGCAGAACAGGAATTCAAAATCCGGTTTTGTTGTTTATCCAAAGGTAGTTGAAGTTGTATTGCTGGGACCCATGGAGCATGTATCTGGAGAGGCCAAGCAAACTTCTCTAGCAGGAGGGACTCGCTGTCCACCTGCTCACTGCAGGCCTCTGGGGAGGCTTCTCAGTCAGTGTGCCTGCAGTGACCTGCGCACCCTGCTGGAGTGCACGTGGGAGGTAGTAATGCTGATCATCGGCTGGGGTGAGAGTCAGCATATTTTTGTGTTGGAAATTGAACCAAGGCCCCGTCGTGCTAGGCAGGCTAGGCAGGTGCTCTGCCACTGAGCTACATCCCCAGCCCTTAGCATTTTAAACCATCTCCTCTATAACATTGATGCTTCTGGTCTGAGCTGCCCCCCCGCACTCCCCTAAAAAAAATCTAGGAACAAAGTTTAGTGTCTACTTTTAATTCTCATTTTGATCAGACTTCACATCTTGGTTTTGGACAGACACTGTCCTTTTCTCTAGTGTGCAAGACTACCAGAGCTGTCCTTTCCACCCATGGCGTCAGAAGTTGGTGCACTGTGTTCTTCACTCTGTATTTTAATAAACATATTCCTGTCTGTTTGTATGATATGTGTACCTGTTTCCTTTCTCTAACCCACTGGGATTTTACCAAAGAGAATAATAAATCCTAATCAAGATCATAGTAAGAGCTCATACAATTTTGCTTTGCTTTCTGGGAGTTGAAAATCAAATTGAATATTTTTTTTCTTTTTGAGTAAAAAAGGTAATCGTGAATATTTTTTTAAAGTGTGAGGCACTGATTTGTTTCAGGGGGCACCATTCAGAGCCTTTTCAGGGTCACAAGCACTCTGCAGTCTCTGGATCGTTGGATGCAGCACCTTGATTGGCCATCTGCTACGTGTTTGATCCTGGTGCAGTCAATCTCTGGCAGCAGGCACACACTTTCTTTGGATTTTGAGACAAGGTCTTGTTCTGTGTGGTCCATGATGGCTTTGAACTCAGTTATTCTGCCTCAACCTCTGCGTGCCAGGATTCCAAGCTTGTGCAACCACGCCTGGCTTGTGGAGCTCTTTGGTAACCACCATTCACATTCTGTCTGTATTGGAGCAACAGTGGGGGTTATCATTACTTTAAATTTATTACACTTTTACTGTTGAAAGAATTTTTTTATTATTTAAAGAAATGAAAGCTTTTCTATATTTTTTTCATAATTTTATTGATAAACAGATAGCAATGAGACAGTTTCAAATCAAATCGCTAGGACAGTTTCAATAACTAACACACTGCATACATTCTTCTTAGTGGTTAATTGCTGTACAAGATGTGGACTTGAGATCCTATTTACAAACACCATTAGAACAAATCATTCTATTCATTAACAGAATGTAACTATCTATCCCATCCACTTTGAATA